TCAATGTCATAACCTGTATAAAATATATAAGAAATCAAAAATTTTAATTTCGATTGGTTTGATAGTTCTAACGTTGATGACTTTACTCGATTTAATATATATGTATATATATGTATTTATATATATATATTTGTGTATACATACCCCACCAATGATATTCGAAGTACTATATGGATTATTAACTACAGCACTCCAAAGTGAGAGTTGAGCGATAAAAGCTATCATATAAAGTACTGTATCAGTTGCGGTATTTAACAGCTCCTAAAAAAATATATTACATATAAATATATGTAAAATTATAAAGGAAAGAAAAACAAAAAAAATAATTTTTTTCTCTCAAATCGTGTAACGTTATATTAATGTTCTTCAATAAAAATTTCTTAACACATTCGATAATGCTTACCGTTAATATCCAATTGATGGGAATTTTAAGTACTTCCCTTATCGAGAGAAGATAAATGAAAACCCACAAAAGTGTGATTATAAAAGTCGTTGTTGCCACGAATAAGAACCAATGAGATGCACCAACGACTGCAGGTGAAACACATGCCATACATATTATTCCAAGACCCTGAAAACATAATAATACAACAATATTGTCAAATGATTCAAACAAAATGATATAATATATATGTTTATATCGAATGAATATAATGATATTTAAATAATAATTAATAATTTTACATAAAGCTTATTTCGAAAACAAAATTAAATAAATATAACGTATGAAACGTTTGTTTTTTTTCCTTTTTTATTTTTTTGTGTTTAAATGAACGAATCGTAATAGTAAAAAAATAAAAATCGTTTGATAAAATCGACACCTTTACCGATTTATTACGATTTGATCAAATAATAGTTCGATCCAATTTCTCGGCCAATATTTTACGAACATCGTCTCTGACATTGCAATATTGTTGCATATAATATTCTTCCATATTCGTTTCTACTTTTTTATCATCGTCGAGATCCTCGTCGTCAATAATTGTATTCGTTCGTTGAAAAGAATTGGACAATTCAGGAATCCGAAGGGTTACGATATCTTCATAAAATTGATCACGAATATTAACTTCCTTCTTGATCTTTTGCAATCTCAAACATTTTTCCTCCTGTAAACGAACCAACGGCATTTTTCTTTTCTCCAATTCGTCGGGAACAAAACCTTTCTTCTCCAATATAACATTTCTCATTCGTTTTTGTTCCTTCAATTTCCAAATAGTTTCTTTAGATTTCGGTACGTTCAATGCTCTCTTTTCCGCTTCCAATCTCAATCTCTGTTCGTATTCCTTCTGAAGATTATCTTTAGTTTCCTCCAATCTTCTCTTACGTTCCTCGTCAATTTTCTTCAATTTTTTCGCAATAGCAATTGGATTAGTCTCGAGAAATTCGCGTTGCCATTCGGTGAAAATCTTTTTCCTTTGAACTTCTCTCAATATGTAATTCTCGAACCAATTCATGCACTCAGCATCGTTCGAATACGTACTTGGTTCTTTGAATACACGAAATACACCTTTGTCATCGCCAATTCCAATGAAACCAGATGATACTTTTGTTTCTTTCCAAAAAGATAATACAGTTAACGATCCATTCGAAATGGTTCTAACGAAAATAGGTTCGCAATCGTTTCGTTTGATATCCCAAATTTCT